CTGACAAACATGTGTGAGATGCAGAGGTTTACTCCAGGGCTCTCCTAGCTCTGCAAAGCCCTCAGTGCAGTCCCCCTTGGCTGCCGTACCACTTCCTAGATCAAGGGAAGGTTGTGGGTTGGGGAAAGAGGCTTCCTAGAGGCTCCTTGCCTTGGTTCCTAGTGACTGGCCTTGACTCCTGTACTTCAGCCGGTTGTTATGAATTGGAAGAGGCAGGGCCTCATAATTTTTGTGATTTTTATCCCCAGTTAATGGGTCATTCAGAGCCTACCCAGGAATTTGTTGAGAGTTTGGTCAGTTAATGATCATAACCCCGACCTTCACATTAACCTAGCAGCCTAATGAGCTTCAGGTAATAGCCACTGTTCCATGAGTCTCCATTTGTGTTTTGTGGTGTGCTTCTCCCCCAACCCCCTGTAAACCAGAGCCCCAAGCTCCTGGTTTTTAATTTGGCCCAGTACTCTCTAGAGTTGCTGAGAGCTACAAGCTTTTTTTTCCTTTGGGGTCTCTGTCTTTTCTTCCAAGCTTGATTGGTCTCACTGTCCTCCCTGTCATCTCTGCCTGTCCTTTTTTCTTTTGTTCAGCCATTCTGAGGCTCTGTGGTTCCATGTAGATTAGTTGAAGTGGAGACCATTTTGTCAGCAGGATTGCTTGAGAGAGGATGGCCACAATGAAGTAGACACTTGCAATAGTCAACAGTGTCTCTCAAGAAGAACCAGCTGTTGGTTCTGCCCACATGTCTTCCCTAGGTCATGCGCCAACTTTCAGGCTTCTCCATGTTGTGTGCGTTGGTACTACCGTACTATCTTGTTCTATGGATTCTGGTTTTTGAGATATTCTCAAACTACCCAGGCCAGCCTCAAAGTTGCTCTGAGGCTGAGGATGACTTTGAGTTCTTGATCCTCCTGCTTCCACCTCCCCATGCTGGGATTGTACACACAGTGCCTTTCAGTGTGTTAGTGCCCGCCTTTTTGGACAGGTATAGCTTCCACTGTCTTGCTTACTGTATGGTTGCTCCTTATGCAGGGCTTTGTCTGTTTTATATATATATCATTTAACCTTCCCACCCCGGAAGATCGTATAAGGCTATCCATTGTCCAGATGAGAGCCCATTCTAGGAAAGAGGCAGAGTTAGTTGTGTTATCCCTTGGTCTGTAGGCCGAAGCATATTTGTCCAGTCACTGAGCCTACTTGAGAACACCAGATATGAGTCTTTTTGTCACACCCATGCTGTTTGAGCCCAGTAAACTAAGGGCCCTGGGGGAGGGGGAGTGGCTCAGAAGGTGTGACTTAGATTGTCCACATGTATTCTTTGACCAAAGATGAGCTGCAGTCAGCCCCAAAATGGAAATTAGATGCTTGGGAAGCTTTGTTCAGGAGGTTGGAGGCAGTCTTGCAGGAGGCACCTTGCAGCCATTTCTGTGTGCTGACCAGCCAGTCTCCCAGGATGGCTGTTTCTTGTCTCTGGGGGTCCTGGCAGTGGCTCTGGCTGCAAGCAGGCACGTGCAGTGCTAGTTGTAGTGTTTCCCTCTGGGTACCTGTCTCAAGAGGGGTTGGCAGGTCTAGATTGAGACGATTAGTGCAGTGGGGCTTCCCCCACTCTTCTTGGGGATTATGTCACAGTCTGTTAAGCGTGCTCCCTTGGTGTTTAATCCCTCTCTGACATGGATTTTTCTGGCAGTCTGTTCAAATGCCTTTTTGTAAATCTCCCAGCTGTTTTCTGTCCATGGCCCTTGGGATATCTGCCCTCTCCCAATGGGCTTCCATTCTTCCTTCTAGTGAATAGTCTGAAGGAAGTAGTCAGACCTGATGCTTACACAGGCCTCTTAGCTGGGAAGGCATCTGCAGCATAGTCATGACAGAGATCGTATAGGGCTCTAGGGACTGAGGGCAGGAGCTAGCTGGATGGCGCTGCAGATGTAGTGACCAATCTAGTGTCACCTTCCCAGTACTTCTTGTAAGACACAAGCAGCCCTTTTAATTTATTTTTAAAGTTAGTTTGGCATTTTGAGACAGAACCTTGCTCTGAAGCTGAGGCTGGCCCTAAATCAGAGACTTTCTACCCTAGCCTTCTGATTGGGGTTACAGGTGTGGATGCCATGCCTGGTTACATCTCCAAAGACTTTATATTATTTTAGCATCTCCATTCCAGGGAAACAAAGTTTGAAGCATGTGCTAGCTCATTTTATAGAAACTTGTGTATGTAGCTCTCACTGAGCCCCCAGATATATGCCCAGGCCTGTTAGCCACACTGTTGGGGGAAGAATCACTATTGGGCTGAAAAGTCTTTGCAGGGTAGGGAGACCTGGAAGAAAAGCTCTGTGATTCTTGGTGACAGTTCAGGTTCATGAATTCCTTGGCTAATCTTGTTACACATTGCCAGGGTGTTAGAAGCGGGGCACTGTCATCATGGCCAGCACACCTCAGCCTGAAGTACATTTCTCTGCCTGTGTAGCCCTGTGCCTAGATGAGGGGCCATGCAAGACTGCCAGATGGACTGAATTTCGTGTGGTTCTTGCTGTTTTCTTATGAGGAAACTGCAGGAAAGGAGATAGTGAGGAACTCCTTTGCCAAGTACCATTGTGGCCTTGGTCCTTAGCTTTCCTCTACATGAATTCCAGTTTGCCTAGCTCTAGTCTGCTCCTAGGCTCGCCTTCTCCTTCCTCTATCTCTCAGGCCCCAACCAAGGCAATTCTCATCAGTCACTAAACGGGTTTGCTTCTGTCCCTGCAGGCAGGCCAGTACCAGGTCACCGAGTAGCCCAGTCTTCCTAGTCATGTGTTCCATTGCGTCTGGTTCTGAGCCGTACCTACAGGGAGCCTCCCTTGACAGGAATGCTGCTTAGTACCCTGCCCCCTCCAAAGTTGACTGTCTCCTGGTGCAGGTGGAGTCCTTTTCCTACTGTGCTTGCCTTTGACAAAGTGTGAGGAGCCTTATGTCCTGCTGTGTGAGTGCTGTCCTTGACCTCCACTTTGTCTGTCTTTGGGGGCCAAGGCTCTTGGGAGTTGAGCCTTGGGCCTTTGAAATTGGGCTCAGGATTAATTAGAGAAGCACCTCTCGAAGCTGTGGAGGGCTGGAGAAAGAGGGGTTGTTGTTTCCATTGGAGCCCTTTAGGACCCTCAGGGCTTCTAAGTGGGTTGTTTCCTCCCACAAAGCTTCTTTGGAGAGCTGTTCCCTGTTCTGATTTTTGGTTAGCCTTTTGGGTGTTTTTTTGTTTGTTTGTTTTGTTTTTTGTTTGTTTGTTTTTTTGGTTTGGTTTGGTTTGGTTGCTTGTTTTTTCAGGACAGGGTTTCTCTGTGTAACAAGTCCTGGCTGTGTAGCCTGCCTTTGGGTCCTGAGTGCTAGGATTAAAGGTCTGTGCTCCCACTGCCTGGCTTCTGTTGCATTTTTGAAAAATTATTTTTTTGGTGTGGTACAGGATGGACCGTAGACTCTTGCATGCTAATCAAGTATCCCAGACTGACCTTCAGCCCGCACCTCTCCAGGTTCAGCTTCAGTTCCCTCGTTCTTGCCACTGTTATCGTAATCTTTGTGTTCCTTATTAGCTGAGGCGTAAGGAGCTTCTATGTCCATTTACACACCTTTCTGCTGTCATTAAGAACATAGGGAGCTGTAAAATAATGTATGTTTGTGTATTGTTTGTCTTTTGAGACAGGCTCTCTGTAGCTCTGGCTTTCCTAGAACTCACTATGCAGACCAGAGTGGCTTTGATCTTACAGAGATCCTCCTGTCTCTGCCTCCTGAGTGCTGGGAATGAAGGCGTGTACCACCGGGCAGGCCTGGCAGGGTCTCACTGTGTATTTGCCGGCCTGATATCATGTAACCTGGCCTCAAATTCAAGGGATCAGCCTCCTTTGTCTCCCATTATTCCTAGCTAAGTTTAAAAGATTTTTCCATTCTGTCAACTTCTGTACTTAGCAACATCTGTGTCTGTGGGTTTGGCTTGAACACTGTGGGCTCCTCCATCTGCTGCTTGCTTGACCCAGCGCTGACTCCACCCACAGATACCTGACCCCACCCCCAGCCTATCCGTAGCTATTGAGACCTGTCGGGTGACTCACAGCTTGTTAGGTTAGGTGAGTGCTTTTACTGACATGGAGTAACATGGAGTTGAAAAAGTCGAGTGGGAGGAGTACTTAGAGGCAAGGTGAAGAGAGTCAACTGGGAGAGGGAACAGGAATCAGCTGAGGTAGGACTCATCATAGGTGGGGTCTGGCTCTACCATCTTGGACTCCAGTAGAACACAAGTTCACAAGTTTATCTCTATACACCAGAGTGTGCCGGTTGGGGTTCCCTGCGAATGAACTTCTGTGGTCCAGTGGGTTTTAAGTAATGCTGTACTGGAGAGAGGTGGGGGCTGGGCAGCTGGCCCCTAAGAGCCTGTAGCACCCGAGGTCACATTCCTAAGCTCTGTGGCCACAGGACTTGCTGCTTTTCTGCTGGGAACACTTAGGCTCTGAAATGATGGGGAAACTTGAAGTAGGTTTGTCCATAGTGCCTTTCTTTTTATTCATTATTTTATTAGTGTTATTTTTTGTTTTTCTGTTTTGTTTTCATTTTGAGACAGAGTCTCATTGTGTAGCACTGGATGGCGTGAAACTCCTGTGTAGACCAGACTGGCCTCAAACTCAGAGATCTTCTGCCCCTGACTCTGCCTCTCTAGAGGCAGAGGGGTTTAAAGGCTTGTGATACCATGCCTGACTTAGCCTGGCTTTTTATTTATTCATTTTTCAGGACTAGAACTGGGACCTAGGGCCTCTTGTGTGCTAAGCAAGCACCCTACCACTGAGCTGCACCCCTTGCCTTCTGGTGGTAACCCCTCCACCTCTTGTGACCCAGTTAACCCAGTTGGCCCTGCATCCTCCTGGGGCCTATTCCAGCCTCTAGAGCTGTTAGCCATGTCCTCTGGGCTCTCTCCTGCTGTGTGCCTCTCCAGCCTAGAGCTTCAGAAGGCTCCACTGCAGTCCCCAGGTCACAGTGTTTTGGGGGTTGGTTTGCAGGGAAGATGGTGAGTTGGAGGAAGGTGAACTGGAAGACGATGGGGCTGAGGAGATCCAGGATGCCCCTGGAGGACAAGAGAAGAGTCGGAAAGAAAAGGGGGAGAAGCACCACAGCGACTCCGATGAGGAAAAATCTCACAGGAGGCTGAAACGGAAGCGGAAGAAGGAACGGGAGAAGGAGAAGAGGAGGTCAAAGAAAAGGCGGAAATCTAAGCACAAAGTAGGTCCCAGAGGGTTCCCCACACCTCTACTGCTGGCTCAGGACCTGTCTGTCTGCCCAGCGGGCACTCTTTGTAACAGCCGTTCATAGTATCCACGGCCTGCAGACAGTTTATAAAGATCTGGAATGTATGCTCTGTTGCCATTGAATGCCCCCGGGGGGAAGAGTTTTCAGGCTGAGCATAGTCCTTCCAGGCACATTCCAGCATTGCGTGTCCTGGGGCTGGTTGTGCCAAGGTGGCCTGCCAGCAGCAGACTCACTTGTAGTGTGGCTTCTGTCACTGTCGTTGCAGCGCCATGCTTCCTCCAGCGATGACTTCTCGGACTTCTCAGATGACTCAGATTTCAGCCCCAGTGAGAAGAGTCACCGCAAGTACAGGGACTATAGTCCCCCATACGCACCAGTGAGTGATACTGTGTCTTGTGTCTTCTGGTATGGGTCAGGTGGGTGGTACCCCAGAGACAGTGGGTATTATTCTCATCCCTCTTTATGGATGAGGAAAACAAGAGAGTTAGAATGTGTGGGTCTGAGCCAGGGCAGTTGCTTCCTCCACAAGGGCTGCTCCTGAGCCTGCCCAGTGTCAAGTCTCCGCGTACGTTGGCAGGACACCGTATGTCTAACTCGTGCAGGTCACAGCTGACTGCTTTCAGCTGTTCATAAGTGGCTTTTTTTGTGGGAAATTGGCAAGAGAATGAACTGGCCAGTAGAGTAAATTATCTCCAGAGCTGCACAGTTAGAAGTTAAATACCCCATTACAACTCTGAACTTAACCATAAATTTACCATGTGTGTATATACTTTCACTCTCAGAAAAGCGTAAGAAAAAAACAAGGCTGGGTATGTAGCTCGGTGGTCCAGAGCTTGCTTCTGTGCTTATGACCATGGGCAGCACCACTGCCACCAAGACTAACAGTAAACCATAGAAGATTAAATACAAACAGGAAATGCTGACACCAGCTAGTCATCCCAGTACTAGGAAAGGCGAGGCAGAAATAGTAAGAGTTGGAGTCAGAAGCTGGAGAACAGTTCAGTGGTTAAGTGCAGGGGACCCAGGAACTACATAGTGGTTACAAGTGTGTATACCTCCAGTTCTGGGAGTCCCGGTCTTTGAGCACTGTATGTATGTGGTTCACAGATACACATGCATCAGAACACTCATACATGTAAGAATAAATAATGAGCAAGAGAATTTGAGCCTAGCCTGAGCAACACAGCAAAACCCTGTCTTTTCAAACCGTGGGATAGGGCTGCTGGTGGCGCACACCATTAATCCCAGCTCTCGAGAGGCAGAGGCAGGCAGAAATCTGAGTTCGAGGCCAGCCTGATCTACAGAGTGAGTTCCAGGGCAGCCAGGGCTCTTATACAGAGAAATCCTGTGTAGAAAAACAAGGAAATAAAACAACTAGGAAAAAAAATAAAACTGACTAGGCAGGGTTTGATGGCACCTTTTTTTATTATTAAAATCTTTTCATTTTGTTATTTTAGTGTGTCTTTTTTGTGTGTCTGACTGGCACCATATGCATCCTCTGGAACTGGAGTTACAGACAGTTGTGAGCCTCTGTATAGGTGCTAGGAACTGAACCAGAGTTCTGTGAGGAGCAGCCAGTGCTCTTAACTGCTGGGCCATCTCTTCAGCCCTGTGATGGTGGCACTTTTTTAAAGCCTTTTCCAGTGACAGCATCATGCACCGATGCGTAGCAGATGATGAAGGTTTTAGTAAAGTAATGGAGACTGATTACTGAGGAAGGGTATCTTCTCCATACTAGGGGAGGGGTCCGAGTAAGACCGAAAGCTTGAGTGTCTACATCTGTTTATCTGTATTTTGCATTTTTCTGTAGTGAGTGTGGGTTTCCTTTTGTAGTTGAGCCCAGCCATCACTGAAGTGTTGCACAAGTATGCTACAGTATTCCAGCTCCTGAGTGGATGTGGACACATTAGCATTCTTTTCTTTTTTTTTTTTGGGGGGGGTTTTTTTTCAAGACAGGGTTTCTCTATATAGCCCTGGCTGTCCTGGAACTCACTCTGTAGATCAGAGATCCGCCTACCTCTGCCTACCAAGTGCTGGGATTAAAGGTGTACGCCACCTCTGCCCAGCATTGGCCCATCTCTTAAAGACAGACATGTAGATGTACTGCTGTCCCCCAGCCCATCAGGTAAACATGTCTGGAGAGAGGCCAAGAACCAGTGGTAAACCAAGGACAGTAGAAACTCCAGACATACGCACAAGTTCTGAGAACTGAGGTGACCTAAGTAGCCTGATCCAGGCCGTGGGCACTGGCTCACCCTCTCCCCTGCTTTCTGCTGAACAGTCCCACCAGCAGTACTCCTCGTCACACAACACACCCCTGCCCAAGAAGTCCTACTCCAAGATGGACAGCAAGGGCTACAGCATGTACGAGGACTACGAGAGTGAGCAGTACGGGGAGTATGAGGGAGAGGAGGAGGAGGACATGGGCAAGGACGACTATGACGACTTCACCAAAGAGCTCAACCAGTACCGGCGCGCCAAGGAGGGCAGCAGCCGGGGCAGAGGTGAGCCCTTCCCACCCTCTCTCCTAGCACTTGTCCAGGGCCAGGGTGGCTGCTGTGGTTGGAGATGAAGGAGTCAAGGAGACCACTGCACACAGCTTATACTGAGCCTTATTCAAGAGAGCTAGGCAGTCACTCAAAGATAGCTGAAGTGCACAAAAATTATACACTCAGGGCTTGGGATAACAGACACACAGGGACAGCAGGTGTCCCTCATCTGGGCCAGACTGAGGAGAGCGAGAGGCCCTAGTTCTGCCTACTTCCAGTCCTGGACTTTTCATCATCTGACCAGGTGTTTACCTTTGAACTTTGGACCTCAGAAAGCTGATAAACTTGTGGCTGGATGTATAAGGGAGGATGAGGGAAGGCAATCTCCTTCAGGGATTCTTTAAAACAAACCAACAACCCAACAACCCAGCCAGCTGATAGAGGCTTCTAAAGAGCTTCCAGCTTGGTTTCTTAGACTTATGATCCAGGTTACTGCTGAAAGTGTTGTTTCCGTGCTTGCTCTTGGACTCCTGTGCAGCAGGCTCTGCTGTGGAGGCCCTGGTCTGGGCTTACCCACGGGGCTGGCACACGTGAGTCATACTAGAGTTTATAACAGGCACCAAGACTGTGCTGTTCTCTCCCTAAGTTTTTAAAATCTGCTAGGGATCTTCCAGTTGGTACCGTCCCTACGGTCTGGGATTTGTAGCCACATAGAGCTGGTGCCTGTTGTCTTGGACAGTGCAGCCATGAATAGACAGGTAGCGAGAGACTAGCTAATGAGGACAGGAGTAGCTGTGTCCAGAGTCCCACATCGCCCCTTTGAGGAAACTAGAGGCACTGGAGTGTGCGTGGGCCAGCTTGGATGGCTTCCTAAAGGAGGAGGCCTCAAGGAAGATGTAGGAAATGGGACCCCTCTTCCTTGTTGCTGTAGTCTCAGCCATGTGAGGCTCACTGTCCCAATCACCAATCACCTCACAGGGAGCCGAGGCCGAGGCAGGGCCTACAGGGGCCGTGGGAGCCGAGGAGGATCTCGAGGCCGAGGCATGGGCAGGGGCAGCAGAGGCCGAGGCAGGGGCTCCATGGGAGAGCACCCAGAGGATGAAGAGGACCTGTATGAAGAGGAGATAGAGGTAAGGTTTTCTGTAGCTCTTGGGGCCAGCACTGTGATTGGCAGGTTCCCTAGGCTACAAGTCCTTCAGGTGGGCATGGTGAGACTAAGACAGGAGGATGGGGGTGGGCTACCCAAGGGAAGGAAGTCTTGGAGTGACAGGCACACTTTTGAAAGGTTCCTCTTGGAAAGGAAAAAAAAAAAAGTCCTTTTTTGGTGGCTAAAAAAGGAAAAAGTAGATAACAAAAACCCTGTCCTGAGGCAGGGCTTCTCTGATTGTGTTCTAGAATGTCTTCGGCCTCTTATGGCAGGCACAGGAAGGATGTATAGACCACACACCATTCTGTCCCTGCCTTCTATATCTATTGTGTGACCCATTTCTTGAAGTTGTACAGCTGTCCCTTCTGCCCAGGGGCCCTGTGATTGGCTCTGCCTAACGGGGTTAGAGTTGAAGTGGGAAGGCTGCAAGGGTAGGGTTTGGGACCACCCAGCACAAATGCTGCCACTCAGTTTTAACTCAGTGTTGTCTCTAATATGACACTTCTGCCTCATTTTCTCTGGAATCCAGTATGGAGAGAGTGAGGAGCCCATGGGAGACGAGGACTATGATGAGTACTCCAAGGAGCTGAGCCAGTACCGAAGGTCCAAGGACAGCCGGGGCCGAGGTGGGCAAGGGCTTCTGAGGCTGTGCTGGCTGGGATGCAGTGACTGCTGGCTTAGCTGGAGAAGTTAAATCCCTTCTCTGCTTCTCCACAGGGTTAAGTCGAGGCCGAGGCCGGGGTTCCCGAGGAGGCCGAGGGAAGGGGATGGGCCGTGGCCGCGGCCGAGGTGGCAGAGGCGGAATGGGCAAGGGCGGCATGAATGATGACGAGGACTTCTACGATGATGACATGGGCGTGAGTTCACTCCTGCAGCCTGATGTGCATTCTGTGTGTTGTGTTTCTTAATTGTGTTTGTTTTTCTGCATATAGATATTTTGCCTGGAAGTCTGTCTGTGCACTAATTATGTGCCTGGTACCCACAGAAGCCAGACAAGGGCATGGGACCCTCTGGGACTGGAGTTACAAATAGTTGTGAATGACCATGTGAGGGGTGAAATTTAACCTGGGTCCTCTGGAAGAGCAGCCAGTTCTTTCTCATTCTCTCTCTTTCTCTTTTTTTTCTTTTATCTCTTTCTTTTCCTTTGTGTGTGTGTGTGTGTGCGTGTGTGTGTGCGTGTGTGCGTGTGTGCGTGTGTGTGTGTGTTTGTTTTTCAAGATAGGGTTCCTCTGTGTAGCCATGGCTGTCCTGGAACTCACTCTGTAGATCAAACTGGCCCTGAATTCAGAGATCCACTGGGCAACACATTGTTATCCAGTCTTAACTAGTCTCTCTCCAGTCCCTGTGATCCAAGGTTTTGACCAGTGCAACTTTGAGATTTGTTGTTGTTTTATTTTATCTTACCATTATTCGTTTGTTCATTCATTCATTCATTCATTCATTTGTTTTTTTTGAGGCAGAGTTTCTCTGTGTAGCCATAACTGTCCTGGAACTCACTCTATAGACCAGGCTGGCCTTAAACATACAAATCAACCTGCCTCTGCCTCCTGAGTGCTGGGACTAAAGATGTGTGCCACCACTGCCCTGACTGGTTGTTTTCTAATGAGCTCTTCTGTGAAGGATGATCCTGTCCCCTGTCCCAACCAACCCCTTACCCATAGTTTCCCAGGTTGATGCCCTGTTGATACAACCCTCTGTTTAAAACAATACTTTAGCAGTACCTGTAGCCAATTTGTTGAGTTTCTAAAGTGGGAAGGTTAACCCCTGACGATCATGGTGCACCCTGATGTTCAGGAGAGTTTCCAGAGAAGGTTTCGCTACCCCATGGTCTGTCCCTGCATGGCTCAGGTGCCACAGTTTTTCCCATCTGAGTATTGCATTGCATGTGGTGTGACAGGCACCTGTCCTGTTCTCTCTATACTTAATGTACTCCCATCCTCTCTTCTTCTACATTACTCACAGGATGGTGGTGGTGGAAGCTACCGGAGGAGTGATCATGACAAGCCCCACCAGCAGTCTGACAAGAAAGGCAAAGTCATTTGCAAGTACTTCGTGGAGGGACGATGCACTTGGGTAAGAGCACCACCTGAGGACGTGTGACCCACATGGATGGGCTGCCACAGTGCACACTGTTGGGGATGGGAAGGACTGTGTAATATCCTGCCCTTGGCACCTCTTGGAGCCAGGAGACATGTGGACAGCCTAGAAGACTCAGCTTTCTTCTTAGGGTAAGAGGAATCAGAACAAGATGTGTAGAGTCTCTGAGGTTTAAGGGTAATTTCTGGTAGAAATTTTTGTCTAGTCTGTAGAGTCTCAAATGAATCCTCAGGGCTTACTCCGTTCCCATTACACTGTTGAACTTGAAGGTTGGAAAGGAATTATTAAAGACTCCAGACAGAATCAGCCTTGGACATCAGAGTTGTGCAAGAGATAAGTGTGACCATTTAGTTAGAGCACAGCTGGCTTGTGATGGTGATACAAAGGCAGCAGGCAGGTGGCTTATATGCCTGGGAGGTACTGCTCCTTTGGGAAGCAGGAAGTAGGTATTTTAAACAGAATAATATATAAAATGTGTAAAATAGCCCTTAGTACTCTTAGTCTCTCTCTTTTGTTTTTTGAGACAGGGTTTCTCGATGTAGTTTTGGCTGTTCTGAAACTCAGAGGTCTGCCTCCTGACTGCTGGGATTAAAGGTGTATACAGTAGCCATCACTACTAGGCTTGTTCTCAGTCTTGACTTTCCTGGTTTCAACACATACTTGTTTGTCAATCAGATCAGGAATCTTAGTTGGAGCTTGAGTGAATTCAAGGCTACTGCAGTGGTCAGTGTTTCCCTGGGGACCTACACTCCTTCTTCCTGCCACCTTTCTTAAGCCTGTGGCATTTGTCATCGTGGACTGCACTTGTATAATGACTGCTGTGCTTTTGAACTTTATATCCTTGGGCTAGGAGGATGTCAGGCAGTGGTGGCGCAGGCCTCTAATCCCAGCTCTTGGGATTCTGAGGCAGGCAAGTCACTGGCTGTGAGGCCAGCCTGATAATACATATCAAATTCCCGACATAGATTTTTTTTCTTTCCCCGGCTGACACAAGAAAAATCTGTCTTAATTTAGGACATACCTTGCCTAGAAGCTTTTACCTGTGTTTCGTGGGTAAAACAAGAGAAGTTGGAAAATGGAATATTTTTAGCCAGGCAGCCTCCCTCAAACAAAACCAGGGTTCAGTTAGGAAGGACAGAATGTAGAACTGGCTTATGTGATGACTTTTTATTGCCAGACAGCAAATAGTATAGGACAGTGTAGGTGGAAAGGAAGGACAGAGATGAATTAGGAAGAAACAGGAAGTAACAAGGTGGGCCTGAGTGGAAGGCTCAGGCTGGGGAGCAGGGCCTGGGCCTGAGAGAAGGCTCAGGCTGGGGAGCAGGGCCTGGGTCTGAGAGAAGGCTCAGGCTGGGGAGCAGGGCCTGGGCCTGAGAGAAGGCTCAGGCTGGGGAGCAGGGCCTGGGCCTGAGAGAAGGCTCAGGCTGGGGAGCAGGCCCTGGGCCTGAGAGAAGGCTCAGGCTGGGGAGCAGGGCCTGGGTGAGAAGAATGATTTGGGCGACTATTCTCCAAGGGGATGTGTTCTTGTCTGTGGTCTCTCTGCAGACACAAGTGAGTCAGAACTCACGTCCCAAACCCTTAGTCTGTCTTCTCTTTTCCAGGGAGACCACTGCAATTTTAGCCACGACATTGAGCTGCCGAAGAAGCGAGAGCTGTGCAAGTTTTACATCACAGGGTTCTGTGCGCGCGCCGAGAACTGCCCCTACATGCATGATATCCTTGGCCATCATGACTGTCGTGTTTGTCCTGTGTTGCTGCTCCTGAGACCTCACCCGTCAGCTTCCCTTCTGCCCCTTTTACCCAGCCTGGGCTGTTCACATCTCACCTGGGGAAGCCCACATCCTTTACTCCCCGTCTCTATAAGAGTCCAGAATCCTTTCCAAGTTCAGCTCTGTGGGCCAGAACTTGCTCTGGACTTGAAGCAGTGTTGGAAACAGCCACTGGCAGCCACTGCACAACCCTGAGTGTCACCTCACCTCCAAAATGAAGGGGCTTGCTTGTTCTTTGGGGTGGGTTCTGAGAAGAAGCATTTGCCTTAATTAATGATGAACGTGACTTTCCGTGTAAGTTATACCACACCACTGGGAACTGCATCAATGGTGATGACTGCATGTTCTCCCATGACCCGCTGACCGAAGAGACACGAGAGCTCCTAGATAAGGTAATGCCTGAGGTGGCGCGGGGCGAGGCCGGCAGGAGCCTGCCACCACTCTGTTGCCACAGATAACCTTTGCAAGATCAGAGTCTGTTGCAGGTTATATTTGTGTGTACATGGCATACATCTTCCTACAGGAGAGGGGGCAGGGTCCTGCTGCATCCCAACCACAGAGCTGAGGCCATTGCACTGGATTCCCTAGGGGACAGCGGAATGAAAGGACTGTCACCTTGTGATGTTGTGTTGTATACAGAGACTGAGATGCCCAGGGGTTGGAAATGTCATCACAGGGACTCATGCAGAGAAGGGAGTGGGACCAGGATCTCACAAACCTGCTGCCGTTTGACACTCATCCTGATCTCTGTTTCTCTTCCCCAGATTGGTGGTAGTTTGTGGGGATGCTTCTTTTTGTCATTCCTTTTGAGAGCCTGTCAGCCTAAGAGCTGGGTGATGAGCATCTAGTCCCTTCAGGGTGTAATCACTCGCCTTTCGAAGGACCATCATCAGTGTCTGAGTAAAGACCGCCCCCTGCTGGAGGTTCCGTGTTCACACTCAAAAGCAGGAGCCCAGTCCTCCTGCCCCCTGGGTCATTTTAGTTTTTCTTGTAGTTTTTGAAGTTTGGTTGGGAAGCAGGGGTGGGTTCCTCCCCTCCCGCCTCCCACCCCCACCCCTGGTGGGAGGCGGGAGGGGAGGAACCCACTCCCAACAGGCTTTCTCTGTGAAACCCTGGCTGTCCTGGAACTCACTCTGTAGACCAGGCTGGCCTCAAACTCAGAAATACGCCTGCCTCTGCCTCCCAAGTGCTGGGATTAAAGGAGTGTGCTACCACCGCCCGCTTTTTTTTTTTTTTTTTTTAAATAAAAGTATGCTCTCTCTGTAGTCCTGGCTGTCCTAGAGCTCATTATGTAGGCCAGGATGAGTGCTGAGACTAAAGCTGTGGCTGCTGTAACTCCTCTGTTATTAAGTTTGCATTAGCTTTTTGTTTACCTGCTGCTCCACCCCCTCTTCTTTTTTGTTTTGACAGTTTTGCTTTGTGGCCCATGCTGACCAAGAGGTCATTCCTCCTACCTATTCTTCTCAGTGCTAAATTTGCAGGGGTTTTCTGTCCTGGAACTTGCTCTGTAGACTAGGCTGGCCTCTTACTCAGAGAGCCACCTGCTTCCACCTCTTGAGTGCTAGGACTAAAGGTGTGCGCCACCATACTGAGCAAAGATTTTTTTTTTTTAATGGAAAAAAAATGATTTGAAATTTTGTATTTTGCCGGGCGGTGGTGGCACATGCCTTTAATCCCAGCACTTGGGAGGCAGAGACAGGCAGATTTCTGAGTTCCAGGCCAGCCTGGTCTACAGAGTGAGTTCCAGGACAGCCAGGGCTACACAGAGAAACCCTGTCTCGGAAAAAAAAGAAAAAAGAAAAAAGGAAAGAAATTTTGAATTTTAATTTAGAAACAGAAAGGAGAAAAAGAAAAAGTATTCAGGCATTTTTACTTCCTGAGTTTCTCACATCCTCATTTGCTCACTAGTTCCCACGATGAGAACGTTCTCAGCCGCCCATCGTGATGTCATTAATGGGGATATGCATCACGTGTGTCTCACAAAGAGGCTTTAATCCAGGGTCACGGGTCCTATCGCTGTTATCTTGGCAGTCTCCTGGATAGCTTCTCGGTTGGCATTGGTGCATTTTCTAACCAGCATAGTTGAGTTCTTTACAAACTGCCAACTTGGCTAAATGGTATGACCTGACCTAGGATTGTTACCTGGATGGCTGTTTGAGAAGGTAGAACGCTTTGGTGTCAAAGTGTATGCTGAAGTACAAAAAGTAAACATCCTACACCCCAGGAAAAGGCGCCTGTTCTCTCCCTTGTATGGCAGTGCTTCAGCTTCTCGGAGTTGAACTGGCTGCTTTTGTTTGGAACAGTCTTGTGTAGTCCAGGTTGGCCTTGAACTCACTACGTATCTACTGTCATTCTTGAACCCATGATCCTCCTGTCTTTAGCTCCCAAGTTGTGCCCTATGGGTATTGACCAACATGTAGATTTGTGTCTGCTCTATCCAATCTAGACTTCACACACACACACACACACACACACACTTTATCCCAAGAGTTGGAATCTCTCTCTTTCTGTAGATGTTTCCCCCCCCCACACACACAGTTCCTTCAACAACTGCCCATATGGTTTCTGTCTGTATAGTTTGGGGTATCTTAGGAATGCGGAACAGGTGGTAACTATGTGGGAAAGCCTGTACCTCTCATTCACAAGGCCCTGGGTTTTGATCCCCGTTATCAACAGAGAAAACAAGTGTCTTCTAAGTAGAACTGTAGAGTAAAGCAGGCAAGGGGTGTGTCTGCCTTGTGCATGCCATAGTGCACTTTTGATCTGTGTACGGCACTGTAGGTCTCTGTAGTTCAATGCAGTTGCGTGCAAGGTTGAACTCCTCTGCTGATGGTTAGGTTTATTTATCCAGTCACTGGTTAAAGTACATTTGTATATTTCTTGTTTTATTTCTTGTTGGGCAAAAGTTTAGAATTTGTGACAGCTACCTTATTTGTGTATGCAAGTGGCAAGAGTCACTTTTTTTTTTTCTTTAGACAAGTTCTCTCTGTAGCCCTGGATGCTCTAGAACTCAGTATGTAGGCCAAGCTGTCCTTATATCTATAGAAATTAGCCTGCCTGTCTGTCCCTCCAGAGTGCTGGGATTAAAGGTATGTGCCACCACACCTGGACCTTTGGATGCTAGCATCAGCTCTAATGAAAGGTTTGGTGACACAGCTCAGCCCTAGCAGGCATGGTCACCAAGCAGTGCTTATTGCTAGTAGGGAGGCCATGTATGGAAAGGCTACGAGGGAGTTTAAGGACAGATATTTGTGTGTTTTCTCCGTTTGTGCTGAAATTGCCAATGGGTAGTTTATGTTCTGTCCTCTGGATATTTTCTCATGTGTGTTTGCCATGTTCATGTCATTGGGCTCAGATTAGAAGACTAGGTTAGGAACAGACTCATCATCCTCCTTAGGCTGTAGGGTCTCTTGTAAAAGGCTTCACACATAGGGAGGACCAGCTGTAGAGCTGTCCATGTTAGAAGACATCCCTAAGGGTGACAGCAAGACTGCTTTCATCCAGTATGTTACCCTGCAATATCCGCTAGTGTTGAGCCTCAGGCTTGTCCTCTCTGGTAGCTGTCTCAGATTGTTAAGGATATTGGCCAGGTTTTCACACTTGATATTGGTATAGAGAGAAGTGCTCTATGTTTTGAAGCTTTGCTGGACAAATCTGTCTCAGGTCATTAGAGGCCTATAGACATTGTAAAAGGGAGCCATGGTGGAGAAGGGAGGCTGCCTTTAAGCTTGAGATTTTCCTGCCTCCTCATCCCCAGTGCTAAGATTACAATTGTGTACCACTATGCCCGAGTGATCACGAAGATGGATTGGGTCCTAGACCCTGTGCTCTAAAAGCCCTCAGCAGGTGTGGTTTTCCGTTTTGCAGTCTGACTGGGTGGAGCCTGCTGATGGGACTGACTTTGCTTTGCACAGATGTTGGCTGATGATGCAGAAGCAGGTGCTGAGGACGAGAAGGAGGTAGAAGAGCTGAAGAAGCAGGGCATCAACCCACTGCCCAAGCCACCGCCTGGTGTGGGGCTCCTGCCCACACCTCCACGGCCCCCTGGGCCCCCAGCTCCCACCTCTCCTAATGGCAGGCCCATGCAAGGTGGCCCTCCTCCACCACCACCACCCCCTCCCCCACCTCCTGGGCCTCCTCAGATGTCCCTGCCAGCACATGAGCCACTGTCCCCACAGCAGCTACAGCAGGACATGTACAACAAGAAGATCCCCTCTCTGTTTGAGATTGTGGTGCGGCCCACAGGGCAGCTAGCTGAGAAACTGGGCGTGAGGTAAGTCTGTTGCCCACAGAGGCACAGGAGCATGGCCTGGCGGGGCGCTGTCCTTCTGAAGCTGTCACACCCCATTTGGGCTCCTGGCCTTGGGCTCTGATTGAGCATTGCAGGTTTACTGGTCGGGTGCTGCTGCCTTGCCTTAGCAGCTTCACCACAAGTACCATTTCCTCTTCTAGGTTCCCTGGACCTGGTGGACCCTCAGGGCCAATGGGTCCTGGCCCCAACATGGGACCTCCAGGGCCAATGGGGGGCCCCATGCATCCTGACATGCACCCTGACATGCATCCAGACATGCATCCTGATATGCACCCCGACATGCATCCTGACATGCACCCTGACATGCACCCTGACATGCATCCTGACATGCCAATGGGTCCTGGCATGAACCCTGGCCCTCCCATGGGTCCCGGTGGCCCCCCAATGATGCCCTATGGTCCTGGAGACTCCCCGCACTCTGGAATGATGCCTCCCATCCCGCCAGCTCAAAACTTCTATGAGAACTTCTACCCGCAGCAAGAGGGCATGGAAATGGAGCCTGGTCTTGTTGGAGATGCAGGTATGTAGGCAACAGCTAGGCTGCAGAGCTGGGCTCACCGGGATGGCATGGAGGTCAGAAGTGACTTTTCTTCCTTGGTCCACTCTTACAGCAGTCCATTCCAGTCCCATTCCTGTTCGGTAGGGGTTTTAAGTATTATGGGACCCTTTGCCTTGTGGGAGCCGAAGGACTCTGGTGTCTGTTGTCAGTGTAGGAAACAGTACTCATGGTGCCTGGCATCAATCATGAGCCAGGCAAAAATACCTTAGGAAGCTGTGCTTACGGTGCCTGGCATCAGTCACGAGCAAGGCAAGTGCCCTAGACAAGGCCCCTCTCCCGGGCAGTGCTGGGCTTGATAACTCTGCTTGTCTGACACAATTGATTGGACAGGTTCTTGCCTCTGTCCTTTGATGTTAACAACCTCAGTGTTCAGTATAGTCAAGGATAGCTGCTGTGGCTGCCTGTGGGAGATTCAGGAAGGAGGAGGGACCAAAGCTCAGATTGTCTGCTCTCTGTCCTTACTATAGTTGCATTTTAGTAGAGGGAACCAGAGAGAGGTCAGGTGACTCATTTCAGCTCAGCCCTTGTTAGAAAATCGCATGGGACAGTGGAGATTGGAGAGACACAGCCCCAGCAAGGACAGTCATCCGAAGCATCGCTGAGAAGGTAGCCAGGTTCCACAGCCAGCCTGCCGGCTTGTCTGAGGAAAGCAGAGATGGCTATGCATCTATAAAGGAATGATATACATCTTAACATACGTAGGTGTATGTGTCACTGTGGTACTGTCTGCTCTACAGAGCAGTAGAGGGCAGCGGGACATGCATTCCTGTGGTTCCCAGCACTTGGGAGGATACAGTGAGATTGCCCGTCAACCAGAACAGTGATGGGACTTTCAGGTCCCCATGCAGTTGCTGACAGCAGATGCACCCAGGTGGAGGGAGGCTAGGAGGTAGCCAAGAGTTCAGAGATGGATTACGTGGTTTGGAATTGGCACATTGGAGCCAGTGTGACCTCTACGTATGTGGTGTGTAGGGCTGGAAGGAGTAGCTAGGAGGATGAATGTCAAGCATACGCAGCCCTTTACCGAAGTTCAGGCTCTTATGCTGGGTGTGAGGATCACTGCTGCCTCAAAGTACAAGGAGCCTGTGTGGGAGCATAAGCATCCACAGTGTACTCCCGGTGTGTGCTCAAGAGTGGGCTTCAGGAGATGTTGGAAAAGGCAGGCCACCAAGGTTGAGGGAGGAGCTGTTGCCAGGCCTGAGTTAGTTGGGTGGTTGATGGTAGGTGTCTCTACAGTGAAAGTGAGCTTATAATGTGAGTTCCAGGAACTACTGTTTAGAGCGCAGAGCTGCTGTGGTTTCTGTACATTTATTCTGCCTTTTGGTGATGGCTGTTCTGTGGAGGTGAAGCCTCAGGCTGTGTCCCCAGCTCCTCACACAGCAGTTGTAGTGTAGAGTACATCCCATTAGGCTCATGTATGACCAGACTCAGGCCCTGGCAGCAGGCCACCTGTCACTGTGTGAGTTCTTACCAGTTTTGCAGTTTGTGGTATATACGTGTATGTGGGGGTACACATAAGCAGTATGCAGGTGTGTGTAGGCCAGGTTGATCTATTTGTCAGTTGATCACTGTACATCTAAGGCAGAGACTCATTTAAACTTAAGAGATTGCCTTTTCAGCTAGTATAGCTAGCTAGATCCTGGGACACCCTGCCTGCTTACCAAGTATTGATGTTACAGGCCATTACCATGCCTTGCTCTGCTTTCTGTTGTGGTGGCGATCCAGTTGTATGGCAGTAGCCCACTGAACCATCTTTCCAGTCCCCAGTTTTTCTATTTAAACTATTTAAAATACCAGGCTGCGTCTTTTGGTGGCATGGACCACATCTCTGATACTCAGGAAGATATGAGTCATATTCCATGTGCAAGGGACAGAGTTGACTTTTGGCAGACCTGGGCACTCTAGGTCAGCACCCTGCAGTCCAGGGACTCAGAGTGAGACCATGGTGTTGTGTGTAATGTGCAGAGTCGAGCTGGGTGGGCAGGGAGAGAAGACTGGCTGTGGCCATGCAAGGGAAGCTGCCCCGCCCTGCCCTCCGTGTACTCGTGTGCTCAGTAGCTCTGGTGTCCAGGAATCCTTAGAGGACACAGTGGGCTGCAGGGATGCCCTGAGCTGGACTGAGATTTTAGCGTGTTTTGATCTCTTCTGGGAGATACAGTGACTTTCTTACTGGTCTTTCCCCTGCAGCGCAGGCACTGCGCACAGCTGAGAGAAGCTGTGCGTGCAGCACAACAAAATCGTAAACTTAATGAAGCATTGTGACTGTGCTGGGCATCATGGCTCATGCCTTCAATCCCAGCACTCAGTAAGCAGAGGCAGGTGGATCCCTGTGAGTTCAAAGCAGCCTGGTCTGTTTGGAGAGTTCCAGGACAGCCAGGGCCGCATAGTGAGCTCTTGTCTCAAAAACGAACAAAATTACAGCATGTGTGTGAGAGAGATTATGTTTACTTTGATTGCTGCTTTTTCAAGCATGAACTTGGTAGATGACAGCATCACATTACAATGTCAAATGGTTGGACATACCTGCAAGAAACCATGAGATCTCTCATGCCAGATGATAAACCAAGCCTGCTTCCTGTGAGGACAGCAGCAGCTACCTAGCCTGAGAGGGGTACGGCCTGTCTGCAGGAGTCCTGTCTGAGGTGTATGCACGCAGTTATTTATGCTGGCATCCATAAGCATCCATCATGTCCTCCCTGGGCCTCATCCTTCCCCCGCCAGCTGGCTCACTGTGGGATCCTGCTGGACTCTCAAGGCACCCATGCCTGGGGAGGAGGAGGGGACGGGTGGCCATCCTCATCCTCACACTTGCCACGAGGCTTGGCTTTTCCAACGGAGGCCTTCCCGACACAAACCCTCTTCCCTGCCACAGAGGACTACGGGCACTACGAAGAGCTGCCGGGGCAGCCTGGGGAGCCCCTCTTCCCTGAGCACCCTCTGGAGCCTGACAGCTTCCCCGAGGGAGGGCCCCCAGGCCGGCCGAAGGCGGGCGCCGGTGTACCCGACTTCTTGCCCTCGGCTCAGAGGGCCCTGTACCTGAGGATCCAGCAGAAGCAGCAGGAGGAGGAGAGAGCGAGGAGGCTGGCTGAGAGCAGCAAACAGGACCGGGAGAATGAGGAAGGCATGTGTCCCCCCGGCAGGGGCCCAGCCGACTCTGTGCAGGGACGAGGTGGGGGCACCTAGGCTGGGTGCTGTGTCTAAAAGTAGCTTGGCAGGGAGGCCCTATCCTGGGCTGCTGCCTCATGCTGAGGAAATAGAGGCCAGGGCTGCTCCTCTGTATCTTGGGTTTGGAGGACTGGTGACTCAGTGGAGGAGGGTGGTGGGCTGGTTCCTAGCTCAGACAGTGCATTTCCTAAAGAAGCTGGAGAGATGTTATCATGGCCTGATCCCTAGGTTACAAATTTGAGAAGCCAAAACCAAAGAAGGACCAGCCAGCCATAGAGATACAGATCATGGGCTCAAGTGGTCACCCGGTGGCATCCACCTCAGGGCTGAATGGACCAGGGCTCTCTGGAACTTGGGAGCAAGCTAGTGGGGACAGCAGGAGGAAGTACCAAGTCGGCGTCCCCACCCTGGTGGCTCAGGTTTCCCTCCTGGGTTCTGTTTGTTGTTGTACTTGCCCTTCCCTGACCCCTGAACCGCCTTGAGGGGCCTGGGGATGCGTGTGTGAACTGTCAGCATGGCTGTTATCCGGACTTCCAGAGAGAGGTGCCTAGTGCTAGTCTAGCCATATTTGTCTGGACCAAATCTGCTTGGAGGGTGGGAAGAGGCAGTCAGGCCATGGGCACTGAGGTCCAGCCCTACCCTGACTTAAGGCACCCTACCTCCATTCCTTATGTGTCCAGTGGGCAAGGTGATGACAGGACTTCCTTGGGTAGCTGCAAGATATTCAGGTCAGACTGCCTACCAAGAATGGTGCTGGTCTGAGGGAGAAACTACGATGATGTCACTGCCCAGAGCCAGGCCATGCCACCCCCAGCTCCCAGCTGGGGCGGTAGGAAATGCTAGCTGAGAGCTGTGAGCACAGAAGCACACATCTGGGGCTCCTAGGGGTACAAGAGGGCTATGGGATACAGCCGTTCATGTCTCTCCGGTTTGCTCTGCTCTCTCTCAGGTGACACTGGAAACTGGTACTCGAGTGATGAGGATGAAGGGGGAAGCAGTGTCACATCCATCCTCAAGACCTTGAGGCAGCAGTCAAGCCGGCCCCAGGCTTCAGTTGGGGAACCGAGCAGCAGTGGGCTGGGGGATCCCCGCCTCCAGAAGGGACACCCCACAGGAAGCCGGCTGGCTGATCCCCGCCTCAGCAGGGACCCCAGACTCAGCCGCCATGCAGAGACTTCAGGAGGGTCTGGCCCAGGAGACTCAGGGCCCTCTGATCCTAGGTTGGCTCGTTCTCTGCCGACCTCCAAGGCTGAAGGCAGCCTTCATTCCAGCCCTGCAGGCCCCAGCAGTTCAAAAGGACAGCCTCCTGCAGAAGAGGAGGAAGGGGAGAGGGCCTTGCGTGAGAAGGCGGTGAACATTCCCTTGGACCCCCTGCCTGGACACCCACTACGGGACCCTCGCTCTCAGCTGCAACAGTTCAGCCACATCAAGAAGGATGTGACCCTGAGCAAGCCGAGCTTTGCTCGCACAGTGCTCTGGAACCCTGAAGACCTAATCCCCCTGCCCATCCCCAAGCAGGACGTGCCCCCAGTGCCTGCTGCCCTGCAGTCCCTACCTGCCCTAGATCCTAGGCTACACCGTTCCACACCCCCTGGGCCTCCGAACACCCGGCAGCGTCCAGGCTCCACAGATCCCAGCACCTCTGGCTCTAACCTACCTGACTTTGAACTCCTGTCTCGAATCCTCAAGACTGTCAATGTCAATACCCCTGGCCAGAGTGAAAAACCCAGTGATCCCAGGGTGCGGAAGACCCCTACTGACCCCAGATTACAGAAGCCAGCAGATCCTGGGGCAGCCTCCCGTGCAGCCAAGCCCTGTCCCACCGAAGCATCACCACCTGCTGTCAGCCCAAGTGGGGACTCGTCCCCACCAGCCACAGCTCCCTACGACCCCCGAGTGCTGGCAGCTGGTGGCTTAGGCCAGGGCAGTAGTAGCGGGCAGAGCAGTGTCCTGAGTGGTATCAGCCTGTATGACCCAAGGACTCCCAATGCAGGTGGCAAAACTGCAGAGCCCGCTTCTGACCCAAGTGCTCAGCCCAAGGGTCCTGAGGGCAATGGCAAGAGCTCAGCCTCCAAGGCCAAAGAGCCTCCATTTGTCCGCAAGTCTGCCCTGGAGCAGCCAGAGACAGGCAAGGCCAGCACAGATGGGGCCACAGCCACGGACAGATACAACAGCTACAACCGGCCCCGGCCCAAGGCCACAGCAGCCCCCACTGCTGCCTCATCCACCCCACCCCCTGAGGGGGCCACACCCCAGCCTGGGGTACACAACCTGCCAGTGCCCACTCTCTTTGGGACTGTAAAGCCGGCCCCCAAAACAGGCACAGGGAGCCCGTTTGCTGGCAACAGCCCTGCCCGTGAGGGTGAGCAGGATGCAGGGTCCCTGAAGGACGTTTTTAAAGGCTTTGACCCCACAGCCTCTCCCTTCTGTCAGTAGTGTCCGTGGGGGCCAGTGTTCCCCCGACTCCACCACCCTCCCAGGGTGACATGTAAGGGCAGCAACCAGAGTTACGGGCGGGAGGTGGGGCAGGCGGGCAGGGTGTTCTTTCTTCACATTTTTTCTTCCCTTTTCCCCCCTTTTTTAAATAGTACTTACTTTGAGTCATAAATTGTATCTAAGCATCTTGGGTTCTGGTCAGTGCTGCAGGCTCCTGGCTTCTCTCTGTCCAGTGAGCAGCTTACACCCTTCATTGGATGAATAGTGGCAAGTACCCGGCCTGCGGCTTCCTGGGAATTGAGGGAAGCGTAACTGTCTGGGAAAGCACTGAAGGCCACTCACCCTGTGTGTGCTGCTACAAGTTTGACAGAACCACGTCACATCATGTGGAAGCTGGTGCCGGGAGTGTCTAGAGTCCCAGGGTCAACTGTCCTCTCTAGCATGCAGCCTGTGACAACTTGCTTCAGGACAAAGCAACAGTGAAGTGAGAAAAATGTCAACAGGAGAGAAAGGGCCTGGCAACCCCCTGGCCCTAACCTGCTCGGGCCTGTGCGTTCCATATCCTCCGTCCAGTGTTTGTCCTGAAAGTGACACCCTGTAGCCTTGCAGGAGACTGTTGGTAAGGCAGACCTGTAGGCAGCAGGCCTGGCAGGAGTGGGACAGCCCCCTGAAGCATTGTCCCTCAGTATTACCTACCCGGCGTCACTGGCCTGACCCTTGAGACAGCTCACGGATCCGTGGTATGGCCACCTGCCAGACCCCCAAGGAGAGAGGCCAAGAGTGGCCCTGGCAAAGTGTCTGCTAGCTGCTTCCACACCCCTTAGCCATGTTATTTGTAGAGTACCAGATAGTGTTTGCTTTTTCCTCCCAAGCTGACAGAAGCTGGGCGTCAGTGATCTGTTGTGGTGTAGGATTAATGGGGCCTGAGAAGATGGCAGGTGTCCAGCTGATGTGTTGGGCCTTTTCTAGGAAAGGGACCGAGCCTCTTCAGGTGAGGAGGCCCAGAGTACATGCCATATCCCACCTAGAGGAGGCATTTCCACAGCCTCGACCACTAGCTAAGGAGGGCTGGCCTTGTCCAAAGAGTGGGGTGGGGGGTAAGGGGCAGAGACTCTCCCTGTGACCATGTCCTTAAGATTGGATCAGGGAACTGGGTAAGATCTGCAGACCTTTCTTTGATGGAGTTTCTCTCCAGGCCCTACAAGTCTGCTTTCTTGCAGGTTGCCTCTTTTATATTGGGTCTCTTGGCCCAACTGCTTCCTTGTTAATAAGGAGACCTGACACACACAGCCAGTGGATTCCCCTCCGCCTCGGGAGGGGACAGGCTCCCATGTCCCATCCCATCCCACCTACCATACCCTCCACACCCCAAAGAGAAATCCCTTCAAAACAGTTTGGGGCCTGTAGCCAGGGTGGGAGGGGCTTGTGCCCCACAGCCTCACAACCCTTGGGGTCAGTGCACCAAGATCAAGTTGGTTTGTTTGTCTTGTGTTTTTTGTTTTATTTTCTTAAACAATCATCAATGAGATTTGTCTTTGGGCCCCAGCCTTGGCCTCATGGCCTCATGGCCAGGGCTGCGGCCATGGTGAGCATAGGATAGAAAGAGTACAGTGTGGCAGTGTTTGGATCCCCTCCACCCCTTTGAAATTTCCCTTTTTGTAAAAGCCAGGCTTGGTAGTGTCACCTGTCATCCCAGCACTCAGGAGGCAGGGTCAGGAGGATTACAGGTTCAAAGCCAGCCTGGTCTATATTAGAAAAAGAAAACTGTCCTTTTGCTAAAGAATAATTACATGAATTTTTAAGGATGAAATCTGTGGGTAAGATGGAGTCTTGGAGCCTTCCTCTTGGAATAGTTAGCCGAAGACCCTCATGGGGCCAGGACACCGCTTGAATCCCCACTCGCCATCAGGCCACACTTTTAAAGAAAAATTGTTCTCTAACCAGGATTGTAACAAAAGTGTAAATAGTATTTCTGAGTTGAAAGTCGATGGTGCAAATATGTATATAATGTACTGTATTTTTACAATGATCGTCGCATGGCTCTCCCGCCCCTTTTGTACTCAGTATCTGTCTTCCAGAAACCTCACCTGCCTTCTCTCACGTGGTCTCTTAATCCAGTAATTGTATTACTGCCATTAAAGGATGCAGTTATTTTAAACAGTCTGTGACTCTAGTCTCATCCCTGCCAGGGAACAAACAAGGAGGGTGGGGAGCTGCCTGGGTTCTGCTTTGTTTCATTGCAATGAGATGAAGTCCAGGCTGTTGTGCATTCTGGGGAGCACTAGGCCTGGGACATCCCCAGCCCTCCTATGCTCAGATAACAGTGATAACCAGAGCAGATGCACAAGCATGTGATCCTAGCACTTAGGAGGCTGAGGCAGGAGGATACTGAGTTTGAAGCCAGGTTGGGCTAGACCTGAGGTGAAAGGAGGAGAGAAAAATTCTTTTTTCAGTCATGTAAGACTTGAGATAGCTAGAACCTTGATGATACATACAGAAATGCATGTGGGCTGCCTGTGGCCGTATTTACCCATCTACTGTGGTCTCATCAGTCTGAGATAGTCTCCAGGCTGGCCTTGAATTCCTGACACTTCTGCTTCCAATTCCTGGTGCACACTGACAAGCCCCACGTTCTCTCTCTGTGCACATGTATGTGTACAGACTGCACACACAAACACAAATATTACCCTACTGAAGATGGTTTCACTTGGCTTTTGACACTAGAGTGTGCCGGTTCAGTGAACTTTGAATTTGGATCTTTGTCCAGCCTAGCAAGCCTAGGTTATTTTGTCCGTTTTTTGAGGCAGAGTTTCATTGGCCTTCATCTAGCCAAGGATGATCTTGAACTCATGAATTTCCTGTCTTTTATCTTCCCAGTGCTAAGATCACAGGTATGTGGCACCCTGCCAGGTGTGTGTAGGGCTCTGTGCACAGTGAGTAAGTATTGTATGGACTGAACTATATCCCCAGCCCAGCACTGCACAGTCACATTTGCTGGGATGACGGAAGAGAGTTGCATCTGGAAGCCAGCCACAGACCTTCAAGAGAGGTGTGTTGATGTGTCCGACACTTGTTCCCCAGCATGGTAAGTAAGGTAAGATATGCTAACTGTTCTTCAGGGGGTTAGGTGTAGTGATGATTTGGGTTTTTGTTTGGTCTCTTTTTCTTGTTCTTTTTTGCTTGTATAGTTCTATCATAGATATGCCTCACAAGGCCTGGCTGTTCCACAGCTTTCTTTTTTTTTTTTTTAAATTTAGTTATTTATTTTTTTTAGATTTCTTTATTTTCATTTATATGCGTACACTGTAGCTGTCTTCAGACACACCAGAAGAGTGCATCAGATCTCGTTACAGATGGTTGTGAGGCACCCACCATGTGGTTGCTGGGAATTGAACTCAGAACCGCTGCAAGAGTAGTCAGTGCTCTTAACTGCTGAGCCATCTCTCCAGCCCCTTAATTTTATTTTATGTGCATTGGTGTAACGGTGTCAGATCCCTTAGAACTGGAGTTACAGACATTTTTGAGCTCCCATATGGGTACTGGAAATTGAACCTGGGTCTTTGTAATAGCAGTGTTCTTCATCACTGAGACTTCTCTCTAGCTCCCCACCCCTATTTGCTGGCTTGCTTGCTTGCTTACTTGCTTGCTTGCTTGCTTGCTTGCTTGCTTGCTTGCTGGCTGGCTGGCTGGCTGGCTGACTGGCTGGCTTGCTTGCTGGCTTGCTTGCTGGCTTGCTTGCTGGCCTGCTTGCTGGCTTGCTTGCTGGCTTGCTTGCTGGCTTGCTTGCTGGCTTGCTTGCTTGCTTGCTTGCTTGCTTGCTTGCTTCCTTGCTTGCTTGCTTGCTGGCTTGCTTGCTGGCTTGCTTGCTGGCTTGCTTGCTGGCTTGCTTGCTGGTTTTCCGAGACACGGTTTTTGCATGCAGCCATGGCTGTCCTGGAACTCACCTGCTGACGCATTGTCTTTAACACCCTCAAGCCTCCATCAAGTCTTCAGCTGGCTGTTTAAAAGGCAAAAAGAGGTGGGATTTAGCTCAGTGACAGCAAGAACGTAAGGGGGCTTTGACATTCCCTAGTACTCAAAAGCACAAGAATGCCTCTTATTTTGTTTTGTTTTGTTTTTTTCAGACACGATCTTGTAGCTCAGGCTGGCTTTAACTGGTTGCCTCAGCCTCAGCCTCTCACGTATGAGGATCACAGGCATGTAATTTCATTCCTACTCCATCTGTCTCTTGTAACTGTTGTTGTTTTCAGAGCAAGTAGACTGTAGATGCTTTCTGTAAACTTGCTGGTCCTTTCCACCCCCCCCCTAATTTTTGCTGCTCTTTACTTTAGTGATTTTTGAGATAGAGTCTCTCCATGTGGCTGTGCATGTCCTGGAACTCATATGTAGACCAGGCTGGCCTTGAACCCAAAGATCTGCCTCCGGAGTGCTGGGATTAAAATTGTGTGCTACCACTGCCCAGTTTCTTTTCTTTCTTCTTCTCTTCCTCCTCCTCTTCCTCCTCCTCCTCCTCCTCTTCTTCTTCTTTTTCTTCTTCTCCTCCTCCTCCTCCTCCTCCTCCTCTTCTTCTTCTTCTTCTTCTTCTTCTCCTCCTCCTTCCCCCCTCCCTTTCCCCTTCCCCCTCCCCCCTCCTCCTCTTCCTCCTCCTCCCTCTTCTTCTTCTTCCCCTTCTCTCTGAGGACTTGGCTGTCCTGGAACTCACTCTGTAGACCAAGCTGGCCTCAAACTCAGAGAAGATCTATCTGCCTCAGCCTCCCAAGCGCTGGGATTAAAGTTATGGAGCTATGCCCAGCTTGGTTTGCTGTTTATTTTTTGAGACAGGATCATTAAGATTGGCCTCTTGGGGCTGGAGAGATGGCTCAGTGGTTGAGAGTACTGGCTGCTCTTCCAGAGGTCCTGAATTCAATTCCCAGCAACCACATGGTGGCTCACAACTATCAGTAGTGGGATCTGATGCCCTCTTCTGATGTGTTTAAAGACAGCAACAGTGTATTTATATAGATAAAATAAATTAATAAAATCTTTAAAAAAAAAAAGACTGGCCTCTTTTGTTTGTTTGTTTGTTTGTTTGTTTTTGAGACACGGTTTCTCTTTATAGCCCTGGCTGTCCTGGAACTCACTCTGTAGACCAGGCTGGCCTCAAACTCAGAAATCCGCCTTCCTCTGCCTCCCAAGTGCTGGGATTAAAGGCATGCGCCACCACTCCCAGCTAGACTGGCCTCTTAACATACTGTAAATGCTGTACATCTATAGATGACCGTGAGTTTCTGAACCCCCTACCTTCTGTTTCTCCAGTGCTAACATTACCAGTGTACCAACCAGGCCCCCTATGTGATGCTGGGAGTAGAGCCCAAGAGCTAGCTTATTCTCTCTCCCTGTGTGTGTGTGTGTGTGTGTGTGTGTGTGTGTGTGTTCTGTATCTGCTGCCCATACACTGGGATTACAGGTGGAGTGTCAATCTACCCAGCATTTATATGGGTGCTGGGGGTCCAAACTCTGCTCCTTATTCTTGCAAACACTGTACCCACCTAGCCATCTCCCTAACCCCTGGAATTATTTTATTTTTACATTACAGAAAGAAGCTTCCATGTGAAGCTTGGGAAAGAGGAGAATGGGGCTGCTCTGGAGCAGGAAGGTGGGATTCTTACCTTCAGTTAATTTAGGTTTTGATTGAAATGATGGTGTCTTAGGGTCTCCATTGCTGTTAAGAGAGACCATGACCAAGGCAACTCTTAGAAAGGACATTTAATTGAGGCTCGCTTACAGTTTCAGAGGTTCAGTCTATTATCATCACAGCAGGAGGCATGACGCTATCCAGGCAGGCGTGGTGCTGGAGTTGATGAGAGTTCTACATCTTGTTCTGAAGGGAACAAAGAGAAGACAGCTAGGAGGAGAGCCTCCAAGCCCACCCCCACAGTGACACACTTCTTCCAACAAGGCTATACCTAATAGTGCCGCTCCATGGGCCAAGCATATTCAAGCCACCACACCTGGCTATAGTAGTGCACACCTACAATTCCTGCATTTAGGAGGCAGAGGCAGGAGGATGGCTCCAAGTGTAGCAACAAGTTTAGCTACACAGCTTTGGCTCCCAGCAGTTTCCACATGCACACTCACCCAGGAGCAATCTGAATTTGAGAATGAAAGACACACACACACACACCAGTTAACTTTTGACATGTCATGACTAGCTCAAAGGATGGGCACTCCTAAACCTTCCTGTTAACAAATGTTCCCCTGTGATACTCCTGAGATTCCTAAACCTTCCCTGCTACCTCAGGCCCAATAGGGGAAGTAGACAGTGACCATTTACCTGAATTCTCACATGGCTGCTTGGCTTTCTGTCCTGCAGCTCTTACGTCCCATCCTTCTCCCCCAAGTCATGGCTATTCTCTCTTCCTTTCTCCCAATTCCCAGCTCATTCAAATCTAAAGGTCCCACCTCAGTCTAGCTGGCCGTTGGCTCTTTATTGATCAAAAACCACCTGGGGCAAGGACCCTCAGCATTTAGACACACAGATTCTCAATTTGGGGGGCCAGATTAATTCAAAGCATTGAAACCAATCCCCAACATGCAAGTTCGAGGCCACCCTGACCTACATAGTTAATGAATGAAGGAGTAAAACAACTATGTGACTCTACTAGGCTAGGGAGGCAGTCAAGCATAGGGAATAGTTTAGCAACCTAGAACTCTACTTGGCTTGGATTATGCATACATCCCTCTTCAAACAGTATACCTGTATTCTGCATGAAGACCCTTCTAGCTATGCACCTCACAACTATTAGCAACTTGGGATCACCACCAGCATGGTAAATTTCCATATAAACAATGGAAGTAAGTGTTTAGCAACCACTTGGTCGGACCATGTTTCTATTCAAACACAATCTAAGAAGTATGGAAAATGGATGACCTGATCTGTGCCAAACTAGTTCGATGTATGCAATAAACTGTGTCTCCTGAGTGAGCCCTTAGGAAGACTCCTCCCACTAATTAAAATATTACCTGAGGAGAGAGGGGGTGTCCCAGTTCCAAGTACTCAGGAGGCAGAGGCCAGATGATCTCTAAATTGAAGGCCAGCCTGATCTAGAGTAAATTCCAGAACAGCCAGGGCTACACAGAGAAATCCTGTCTTGAACATCCAAACAACAACAACAAACACC